CCATTGACGTGGTGACTCGCATCGAGTGGTAAGATTGTACGGTGATACGGCTTAAATAAATAAACCTCACGAACGAATTTACTGTTAATTTTGGATGAATGGATCATGAATTGTGTGGAATTTATGATGAGCCGCGCAGGTTAAAAGAAAGTTCGCGGTTAGCCAAGAATGAGAATATGAAATTAAACATTCAAATGTCAGGCCGGCGTTGGCTCAAAAAGAGCTATTTTATTCGATCTTCGGTGTGACCACATTTAGTCTTTTAAATAAAGTAAAACACTGGTTAAGCTACTTGAATGTATGAATGAACAAAGGGCTAATGAATAGTTCGAAAGAGACGACACGTTTACCCATTCACTGAAAATTGCTTGCATAATCTGATGGGAATGAATTCATCGAGCAATTCGGATATTTCACAATTAAACTCACATCTGAGTACACGATTCACTTCAGCTTCTGAGCAACTTTCCGGTGAGCATATTCCAAGGTCGATTCTAAGTGGATCATGTTGTGGACAACCGGCATCCACATCCGAATCTGGCACTTCTACTTGCAGCAGACAATAACGACCATCAAAAGCCCCAGACCTTCAATGCACCCCTACGTCGATCTCTGTCTTAGACGAATTGCAAACATTTTTGACTGTGAACTGTATTGTAATGGAAAAATTTTTCTTTCCGCGTAAATTTCGATGGAATGTTGCGTTCCATACTTTTTCTGCATAGGATCGTGCAGTGACGTGCTCACTCACATTCATGAAATATCGCCAACTTGAACTGTGTTTTAAAACGTGAATAAGCGTGAACCAACTTTTTCAAGTCTGAGCATTGTTCGTATTCTCCAAGCCAATAATGGTTTCCTTCGCTTATCGCTGAAGGCATTTTCCCAATTGAATCCAACCCTAAAGTGGTTTTCATTGAGAGTACAACTACTATAAGCATCGCTGACAATTTCACACTTCAAGGGTAGTAATAGATTACTGATCATTGTGCTAGATCATTGTGCTTTGAGAATAATAGCACAACAAATGAGCTTGTTAACATTGCTAGCAGAAGGCAAATTTCCCAAGGAATC